GTATGAATGTTAACACTTTGTAATAATTCTTTAGTATATTACTTGTGTGGTGCAGAAGGTAATTATTTAAGAATGTAATTATGTAAGAATGTTAACACTGTTATAATTTTTTTTAGTATATTACTTGTGTGGTGTAGAAGATAATTATTTATGTAGAGATACTGCTTGCAAACCAATGATGGTAAGATGATGTCATGGGGTAGGACTGGATAAGTCTGACTTCTTCCTACTCCATTCAAGCATGTACTAGGTATAAGCAAATTGATATTGGATTAGCATTTGTTGGATATGTGTAAAATTATGTGTGTTGACATATCAACTGTCTTTACATGCTTGAAAGAATCAATCAATCAAATCAAAGCATTGCAGGAACACTGTAATAGTCTGTAATGCATAGAGCTAATATTTCTAATATTAGCTAATAATTTTTACCGATGGTTGCCTTGTCAGTCTCGATCTCAGCCAGCAGATCTCCTTCACTCAGCTTCTCTCCGACCTTCTTCTCCCAGCGCTGCACTGTTCCCATCGTCATCGTGGGGGAGAGAGCGGGAAGTGTAATCTGTCAAGGCACAAGGATGTCATCTGGCAAACACTGTTAAGGCTCCAGGTTAATTGATGTTTTGAGAACAACTCTAACAGTCCTGTAACTGTGACATCCCTGTTCGAGTCTGGCTGGGGGCTTTTTAGAGCTGCCTCTAACAAACTAAAGCTTCTCTCCAGACTCTTAAAGTGGTCTCTGATTAAATCATAAAATCATTATAAATATGATCATTAGAATGTTTTGTTTTTACATTTAGCAACAAGCTCTAATACTTGCTCAAGTAATCAGTAGACCTACCTATTTGTAAATTTTTTCTGTAAGAACACACCTACCTTCATGTGTGTGGGGTATGAGCTGCCTGGGGCTGCAAGAGGAGCAGCAGCAGGAGGAGCAGCAGCAGGAGGAGCAGCAGCTGAGGCGGCTGGTGAAGGAGCAGCACCGGCTGCTTTAACAGAGTCCAGCGTTACACTTTTAAAGGCTGGGATGAGGTCTGGGCTGCAGAGAAAAATATATGTTAGACATAAATTTACACAAAGCACAACTACATCTGGAATAAACAGCAATAGGTTGTGTGACATGTAGAAAACTACTTAATCGTATGCTGAAAATAATTTTGTAAGCAACAAAGTGTAAACAGACACCTATGTCAGTCTGGAAACATGTTTCTATACTGAGGACACCCTGGTTTTCAGTCTGTAGTTTACGACATCATCCAGCAAACACTTACTTGTCAACTGTGATGCAGATTAATGATCCGACAGGGACATCTCTGGTCCCTTCAGGAACCAGGATCTTTGCCAAGTAGCACTCCTCCATCATCTCAAAACCTACAGTAGCTTTGTCAGTCTCCACCTAGACACAAAGAAATGATTTAAAACTGACTTTAATGTTTTGATTCCCTGTGGGGATATGCAAACAAAAAACACACACAGCTTCTAACCTCAGCTATAAGGTCACCCTCACTGATTTTCTCTCCCTCCTTCTTCTCCCAGCGAGCAATCGTTCCTGTCTGCATGGTGGGTGACAGAGCAGGGAGCTCCACCTGATGTCAGGAAACAAATTCCAGGAGTTCAAGAATGAAGACATCATGACAAATTTACCATAGCTATTTAATTCACAAGTGCCAAAGCACAGTATCCCAACTCGGGCTTCTTGACATTAAAACTACTGCCAAATGTCAGGTGTTGTAACTGTGGTTGCTACATCATCATCACCACATCCGCTTGCTTGATAATGACCCCCACGGCTGCATTACACCACATCTGTGATGTTTTAGGGTCCAAGGTGATGCAATGTCTGACAGCTGATATACACAAGCGCTGCCAGCGGAGACAGAGATATGAGCTAGGAGAGGGGTTCCCAAACAGACCTACATTAGACCAGAGAGAGGAGGGAAAATCTCAGCACTCTCAAGTGAAGACATTTATGTTATGTTTTGGGAGAGAACTAAACAGCTGTGTATACAGGAGGAAAGGAAACAGTACATGCTCTCTGCATGAATTAGCTTATATACTAATTTTCATTGTGTAATGTTTTTCAATTTAGTATACAAGAAATAAATGTACTTTACGATCTCATGCAGCAGCAATTTATGCTACTGCATGGAAATCCATCAGAAACTTTGAGATGCCACTGTCAGTTACCCTTTGTAAAATGTTCCCTACTTGTATTGCTGTTTTCTCCTTCTTATACTAGTACTCCAATATTATTAAGAGGAAAATATTTTTACTTTTTACTCCACTATATTTGTTTGAGATAGAAGACAATCAACAAATAATTTATTGTATTATAAGTTAATATTTTATTTATCCCAGAAGAATATTCGCTATCTCCACCTTTACCAGCTACAACATTATAGTGACATACACATTAATGCATCGATTAATATAATCGAAAAATATCATTTCTGTTATTCCTGAATGGACCACTGTGTCTATTGAACACATTTTTACTTTAAGTATATTCTGATGCCAATACTTTTGTACTTTTACTGGTAACAGTGTTTCTACACTGTGGTACTGATATTTTTACTTATAGTAAATAAAAAAAATCCGAGTACTTCTACCACTGTACACTACATACTCAAATGTATGCAGTATGGAAATTTTACACAGTGCTTGATAAGTCATGCCACCCATGGACATGGCAATTAAGAAATGATATTAAAAATGTTAAATATAATTTTCTCTGATTTAGACTCCTGGGATCACCAAAGGTCTGAGGTCTCATTACTAAGGAGAAAGCACTCTAACACGCATATTTACTAGCTTAGCTTAAAGGTCTAGTGAACAGAGCGAAACCCCTGGAACTGCACAAAAACAGAAAACAACATCAGAGCGAGTTCACGTGGGTATGAGGTAACTTTATAGTTCATAACATGACATCAAGATAATAACATGATGCTCTAAACTTACAGCTAAGACAGTGTTTGCAGGAACTGACTGTGCTGCTTTGAAGAGTCCTTTCTAGCCTGCGTTTAACCTATAAAAGCAGTGTCAGAAGCTGCTTAGTAAAATCACTGTGCTATCTTCTGCTAGCTATGGAGGTCATGCTAGCTGTAAGTTAACTGTGAACGTCGGTGCTATAGCAACGTGAACACCGGCCAGGGAACGTTTACCTTCTGGTGCGGCGGCAGACTGTAGAAACGCTTGCTTTGACAGCTGCCCGCCAACTGGTGACATCGCAGCAGGGGCGCTCTGTGGCTGAAGCCGGAACCCAAGCACACGGCCCGGTATCCTGTTCCGCAGTGAAGCCGCCTCAGACAACCGGTGCCGGGTATGGAGCGAGAGCAGCGAGCAGCAGGCCCGCTCGGGAGGGCACGGGGACAAGGTAGCCCGGCAGACGGCCTGAGCCGGAGGATGAGACGAAGCATTTCACGGTGGTTGAAATACTATACAGAGATGTTTAATGATGTATTCGTCCTACACAGTCATCAGAATTACAATGCTACCAAGTGTCACTGTGCCCAGAGAACAGGCCCGTAGAGTCCCCTCACTTACTAATGACCTCCTCCAATCCAAAACAAACCGCTTTACGGCTCTTATCTCTGCCCTGCCGTCGCTTCGAAAGAGGTGTCGTAAACAGTTGCCTCTCAAATTTCAATCAAACACCGTAACTATGAACAAAACGGAAAACCTAACCAAACCTTAAAAGAAGAGAAAAATCAAACTTATTTGTTCAGGATAGAAGCTCTACTAAATAACTATAGTGGTATATGTTACTGTGATTATATAGCAGTACAAGAACGATAGTCACATAACACATTGTACCCATTTAGTTTACATTTAAAAACTTTAAAGTGAAAAAAAAACACACTATTTTATGAAGCTGCTATGATTACTCCAACAAATAACTAACCTCCTACATTACTGACTGTCAAATAGCAGTTTAAGTACATTTTTAAGACTACATGCCCTTTACCAGAAAGGGTAGTCCTTCAGTTGGTAAGGCCAACCATTACCTCTGTGATCACCAAATGTGATTTTCTACATAAACTAAACGGACATCTTTTTAAAATCAAAACTCAGACTTTATTTCAAGATATCTAAGATTCAACAAAGGCCACTTTTATTTTTAACAGCCCATATACATATTTTGTAAAAAATAAAATAAAATAACAATTCAGTAAACAAAAACAAACATTGAATAACCATCTCACCAGCAAATTGTATATTTTACAGTACAGTCAGTTATGGCATCAAATGAGTCTCTGTTAAATGTAAAACTGATGCATATTTCTCTTGGCATGTTAAGGCAAATACATTGATCCCAAATGGGAAGACAGAAGAAGTGTTAAGGAAAACATTTGTGTGATTGCCAGTTTCAGTCCACAGATACACATGCACCCACCCACACACTATAAATAATGAGTTTGCCTACTATTCCAGGGCAAAGGTTCACTTTAAGTCCAGTTCACATTGCATATTTTTAACAGGATGCATTCTCACCTCACCAGAATCCCTGAACAAAAAGGCTCATAAACTTCAAAAATTTAAGGATATGGTGGAAATATTTTATGCAACTACACAAAACAGTTTTATAACATAAAATAACTGTGGATCTGTATTTCTACATGAACAATGAGGTTGCAGTATCGTCTCTATTCAAAGGCAGCAGTTCAGCATCGGCCAGGACAGATCTAGAAAATATTGGGTAGGGTGGCCAGGCTGGGGCACAGACTCAGAGAGGAGTGGCACATTTGAAAAACATGTAAAAAGTCAATTGAACCCCTAGCTCGATGAAATAATAAACCATACAGTAATAATAATCCAACTGTTTATGATGTGTAAAAATGAGCCACACACTGCTTTTTTTGTGGCTGCACTCCGTATTTAGGCCCAACTGGGGAAATGCTGTTGCTACAGGTGAGTCCTGTTTACATGCTGGTGAGCTACAAACTCACACTTAGGCCCACATATATATTTGGGTCTACCCCTGATAACTTTGAAAAATATTCCAATGTCATTGTGATATTTTATCTTATTGTTATTTTTTACTGTTGTATTATACAGTATAGTTAAGCTAATATTAGCTGGTATCAGGTCAGTGTATTTTCCAGCACGTCACACTATAGACAAACCTTGTGCAACACGAAAATAAAATGAATTTTGTACAAGTCTGGTCTGACCCTTTTCCTGTCGTTTTGAAATACATACGCATTATAGAAGTGATATTTATTTCTAAACCAGATTTTTCTTGCTATGAAATAATACTGTATATTCACTTCACATTTATAATACAGATTGACAGGCATTATATAACATGTAATCTGGTGGTATTTCTTTAAATATAGCATTAATGCCCAATAAATTAAAAGTGATACTGAACACTTGGAAATGACTGTAAATGTTTTCCAAATCCTCATACAAACTTGTGCCTCAACTAGCTATAAAACAAGTACACTATACTGTGTTTTTATAAAAACATCATTCAAAATAATATTTGACTACCTTTGAGTCCAGTTTTGATGCTACAGTTAGTCTAGCAATAATAAGCACACAATAAAACAGCTTTCCTTTGAAAGGCACTGAGCTTTAGTATATTCTATACACCAGTCACAGATTTACAGCTTCACAAGTGAGCGAGGCTATCAGTGTGGTATAGTACCAGCCACGCAACCCAAATCTTTTGCTAACAAGTCTTTCTTTGCTAACAAATTGAATATTGAAGTGTCCATTTTTGCCTCTATTCTGAACAGTTGTCTCGATGTGCCTCTGGGATCAGAGCAACTAGGACCAAACCCAAAAAGTGCCATGGTCCCTTAGCTTGAACCTACAATGGCCTAGACACAAAAGAGAAGGAGTTGGTTTCCACAGAGAGTCAGGAAAATAAAGAGAGGGACAGACCTAACATGTTACCTTTCCTCACCACGGTCCTCTTCTACCCATGCCACTATTTTTCCTTCCCAGCCTGGAACAATAGCTCCATCCAGGAATACCTTCACACAGATGTACGGTCATATTGTCTTCATGTATAACTTTTCTCTCTCCTCTATCCACTCCCCCCCAACCCGTCTATACAAATAAAATTGAACTGTACACAACGTTTACCATCACTGTCCTATTATTTACTTATTGCCCCACCATTCTCATACCTCTTCTTTCACAGTGCCAAACTCGGGGTCCAGGGCCTTGAAGTGGTACCTGTAGTTTCCCTCTCGATCCACAGCTGCCTTAACATCCTTGAGCGTCACCTCACCCAGCCTGTACAATGTGGAGAAAGAGATTCTTGGTGTCGTGTGATTGATCTTCTAGCCTAAATTTTAGGATTATCCGCATCAATGCTATCAGTAGCCAAGTCTAATTCTTTAGGAAAATTATGCAGAAAATTGCAAGATATTTAAACGTTTTGGAAAGAAAACACCTCAACACAGACACAAACACTAACCTCTTCGGTATAATAATCATGGAAGGTGTTGGGGATTTTCCAGTGAAATAAAGAATTTTAGTAGAGGCAGAAGAACCACTGTGGGATTGAGAAGCTTCTGTGATTAACAAGAAAAACACAGTTAAAAAAGGTATATATATTCTGCACGTTTATAGGTATTTAGGGAGTATATGTTGAAACACCTTACGTGTACATGGCCAGGAGTCAGAGTCTATGGGCTGACCTTTGCGTCCTGGAGATTTCCCCCTTCCCTGCAGTATGTGGACAAGTTGAATTTGATCATTACTTTACATCAGGGGTTTCAAAACCTTTTCATCTCATGTATACCTTTCACTACAGAACATCAGGATTTTAAATGTCTACATTTTCTCAAAAGTATCACTAAGATGATTTTACAGCATCATTATTTATAGTATAATCTTTCATTAGTTCTTAGTCGATCAATTACACAGTCAGATCTGATTTTCAAATCGACATCAGCTAATTAATAACTGCACTTCTGGTTAGATGATGAACTGCATTTTGTTGCCTTGTACTTGTACATGGGTAATGACAATAAAGTTGAATCTAATCTAATTAATCTGTAGTAATCTGATGCATCTGTACCTTGTGTGTATGCAGAACATGCAGTCTGTCAATGAGTGACACTATGCCCTGCTCCAAGGTGTCCAGTGTATGGTGCTGTGGGTCGTGGTCTCTAAAGTTATTCCTCAAACTCCTAAGTGCATCTCTGAGTATCTGAACCTCCTCTGCCTGCTAACAGAGCACAAACACAAGAACCCTGTTAAACAACACATTTTATTAACAACAGTTGTGTGTAATTTAAAGCTTTACACAGCTTGTGTCCTGTGTGTTGTACTTCAAATATTGTGGTTTAAACTCAACCGCCTTCAAGGTAATTTACAGCTCATACTGGCCCTATCACAAGTATCTTTATCTTACCATTCTCACAAAATTACAATGGAGTTCTAGTGTTTCATGTGGCCAAATTATAATATATAGCAGAAAAACTGCAAGAGAATATACCATGAGTAAAACTAGGAGACATTTTGTTAGCAGCTTGACATGTAGAAAAACAGCAACAGGCCCAGTTTTATCAATAGAAACAATACATACTCCTGACATAGAGGGTGCTGGATTTCCAGCGTAAGAATATCCATTGTTTTCTGTGCCCGTGGGAATCTATAAAAGGCAAAAGAAAAAGTGTCAGTTGTGTAATGTATGAAATGTATATCTGGATTCATGACTGCCTTGCGCAGAATGAATATGAAACCTAAACCTCTTTAAGATTTAATGCAGAAGTGATCAGTGAAGCCACAGTATACCTGTTGCAGACCTCTTTTAATGAGCTCCTGCAGCATGCTGTTTTTATGCACCAACTCTCTGTGCATGTCACTCTAGCCAAGAAGAAACGGATCAAAACACACACTAATATAAACCAAGTAGATCCTAAAACTTAATCTAGTCCATGCCTAACAGACACTTGTGCTTTAAGCATATTTTTCTGCTTTTAAATTTTAGTAATCATTTGCTAACGAAACCCCAAACTTTTAAAAGGTGAGTGAATGATTAACTTTTGTTCCAAGACTTTCACACACTGCAATGAGCTGAGCGGAAGATTTTAAACCCAGGGCAGTTTGTTTTAACATCCCTTTACACTCCTTAAATGGCTAACATACCTGCTGTTTTTGGCTTTCTTCAAACTTCTGTTTGAGTTGCTGCAGCAGTCTGTCCTTCTGTCCCATCTCCTTCTGTACCAACCAACAAAAGAGAAAAGGTAAGATTCATTATTTAGAACAAACAGATGCTGTGTTACATAAAGTAAGGACACTTAAGCCATGTTATAGCAAACCATTAAGAAAGAGGGACAGGAGTGCCTCACCTTGCATTCTCCCCACAGCCGGTTACCTTCCTCCAGCTTCCACTGTAGATCTGCCTGCACATTTTCATGGAGGAGGGGAATTAACACACTTAAAATATACACAATACCTAATGAAAACTGTTTTGTAAAAAAAAAAAAAAAAGAATTCAGTGTTTTGAAGATTTTCCATTAATTTAAATTACAACAGACTTTTATGTGAAGCTTCATTAAATTCAAGCATTCATATATTTCATACATTCTGGTTGTTGAGTTCATGTTTCGTCATGTTGACTCTGAGAAGCTCTTGCTTCAAATGCAGTATTGATGCTTCCTGAGTGCACAGCCGCTGCTGCTGGGCATCCTGCACATTTACAAACCAAATGAAAGTCAATACAAAGTCCAGCAATTGTTCTGCAACACTCCTAGAATGATATTTAACTGCAGAACTGAATTTATCTTACTTTGATTCCCTGCAGGTTTCTCATCTCCTCCTTACAGCGCAGCAGCTCCCTCTAAAGCACAAAGCAAACAACACTCTTTGAACTGAATATTAATCACAGTGTGCATTCCAGAAATGCACTTCTGACCAAATATGAAAATAATCTATTAACAGTTTGAAAATAAAACAAATGAAAAACTGCTTTACCTTCAGTTCCAGAGCCTCTTCCATACTCTGATCCAAACGACTGCGAATGACTACCTGGAAAGAAAAAACAAGCACAGTGGACTGAGAACGAAGGGGAAACTGATACCAGTGTCACACACAGACACACATAGCAGCAGCAGATAAGAAAAAAGAAAAAGAAATGTGATCTGTACTGAGCACAAAGAGCTGTTACAAGAGTTCTGAGACAAGAGTGACACATAAATGAGAGAGAGCAGAAAGAAGAACAGAAACAAAACCATAAAAAGAAAAACATGGATGAAAAACTACATGGAGAGACCATCACTACCATCTGCTGTTCAGCACTGCCTTGGTCGAAAGTCAAAGATACATCCTGCTCATCCTCAGGCACTGAACCATGCAGCAACAGGGCCTTTAAAAACACAAAGGACATAACATGTGACACCAGTTTGCACTTTGGAGTGGAGTGATGTCGCTGTGTTTAAAGAGCTCAAGTTAAAGCAGTGGCTGGTCAGTTGTCTAATGCAGTGTGCGCGTGCACAATGACATAGTGATCTATGTCATGATGTGTGGAAATACAGAATATACAGTTAACACTTAAAATTCAATATGGAAGTCAACATCAAGACATTCAACTGAAAAATCAAAAATACATCATTTTGTACAAAGAGGGTTTCCAGAATTTAATTCATATCTCCATGTGTATGTACCTGTAAAGCAGACACCATTTTACGTGTCTCATGCACCTCCTTCTCCAAAGTTTCACTAAGAGAATCCTCCCATGCCGTCTCCACTACGACATCACCGTAGCTCTCCCGCTGTTGATGATCTTCCTGCTGTCTGTATGACTGGCTGCTGGGTGGAGCTCCAGAAGAGGACAGAGGACTGACAGAGCTGACGTTTGAGAAAAATAAAACACTGAATAATCAGTTATTCCAGAGGTGCGTATATAAACACATATACAGTGGGTACGGAAAGTATTCAGACCCCCTTAAATTTTTCACTCTTTGTTATATTGCAGCCATATGCTAAAATCATTTAAGTTCATTTTTTCCTCATTAATGTACACACAGCACCCCATATTGACAGAAAAACACAGAATGTTTGACATTTTTGCAGATTTATTAAAAAAGAAAAACTGAAATATCACATGGTCATAAGTATTCAGACCCTTTGCTCAGTATTTAGTAGAAGCACCCTTTGGAGCTAATACAGCCATGAGTCTTTT